TTAATCACACACACACACATACACACACTTGCACAACTACTGCCCAGGGGGCTAACATCACAGAAAAGGGGAAGAAAGAGAGGGAGAGAGAGACTGTAATAAAGCCAAGGCAGGGAAACAGGGAGGGGAAAGACAGCAAGACAGACAGAGAGAGACAAAGGCTTTCCCACTGCTCCTATCAGTAATCTAAACGCCTGTGTAATATCATTGTGGGGTTTTATCAAATGGGGGCTGCGTCTTATGGCGTTGGTATGCGGCTGTCATTCCATCACCTTGTCAAGCGCGACCATATTCAAGCAGACACCATGCTGATCTAAATAAGAGGCTTCAGCAAATTGATGGATTGCAGGTTTTCTGGGATATGAAGAAACAGAGGGAATGAGGGGAGTTTTTTTTTTTTTCTTTGAATTTCTGTAAGTGATATACCCGGTTTGGTCTTGTGAGAAGGTAAAAAAATGTGTGTGTGTGTCTCTCTTTCCAAAGATCTGAAACAAACCCCCTGTCGTAACCCCCCTCCTGCCCTGGTATGGCCAACCCCACATCATATCTACCCCCTGTGCCGAGGCCTAGGGCCAGGCATACAGCTTTCTGAATCTCTAAGGGGGGCAAGCACAAAGGTAACCCCCATCCTAACCTCCCAGCAAACACACACACACACACACGTACCCCAACCCCCATCCCAAAACAACAATCCTCTATGCCCATCATGTCAGTCAAAACCCCATCAGGGACATGCATGGAGAGTCTGGATATCTGGAATCTCAATACAGTGTCATGCACCTTGAGACCCAGTGAGAGGCCCTCTTGAATATATTTCAATAGCATTATCACCCTGCATTACTACGCTTTTTTTTCCTTTCAACATTACAGAATCATTTTTAAATTGGACCATAATACATGTCAGGGAGTAGCAGCATCAGTCAAAGTGTAGGATAATCTGTTTAAATCGTTATGCAAGTTAGATGTGTGTTTGTTAAAGCAATCTCAGCATCAGTTAAAAAAATGAAAAAAAGGTTTAAAAATGACATATTTCTGATAAAATAATTTCAGTCAAATTTAAAGTCTACATGCAGCTAAATGTCTCATGAAATATATAAAATATTTTATCAACATAGAATAAATTATACTGAATGAATTATAGTTTAATATATTTAAATATAGTATAATGTAGAACTATATTTATGTAAATTGTTAAATATGTATCACACCATAATACATACTTGTATTGCAGAATAATACATAGTATAATACATTTTGTACACATTACATTTACAATAAAACATTTATTAGACATGCTGATAATAAATATCCTATTTTTTTTAGATTTTTAAAAATCCTGAATTATAAAAAAATATAAATGTAAATCTTGTATTATTACATTTACTACATATATTGTAAATTGATTATGGGAAATTAAAGCATGTAATGTACATACATGTTATAGATATAGTTTTTAAAAAAGAGAGATTTGGAGCTTAACAAATACATTGAGTCAAGAGGAGTGTAAGAACATTTCTGAAGACAAAACACACAAATAAAAATTATGAATGTTTTTAAATCAGGCTCCAGACCAGAACCAGAACCTCAAGCACATCAGATGTGAAACTGGTTCAGCTTTTATTTCTGCAAACACTGCGCCGAGTTTAACGTGTTCACATTAAATCAGGAAATTATGTATTTTGTTCCAATTTTTAACAGTTAAAATGCCGAACTGGAGGTCTGAGTCGGTTTTACTGTTGTGTAAAACTAATGAATATGCAAATAGGAGGAGACAGAGGATGTGTGGATCCTACACACAACAGACGATATCATTCAGGCCCGAGTCCCAGCGCCTATTTAAAGAACCAGCTGCATTTGCAAATGATAATTAATGAGATTTCTCATCGTGCAGGTTTACATTCATCCAGTTAGTCCAATATGTAGACACTGTATGATTTTCGAGCAGAGGTTTTCTTTCTCTCCCTTTCTATACACACACACACACACACACACCTTCCACCCCCCCACCCCCTCCTATTGAGACAGGATACCAAAGCTACTTGTTAAATCTAATGCATGCACTGTCAACCCATTCGCACCCCGTCACGTCCTCGCTCGATATAGAAACCGGATTTTCTGGTATTACCCGCACCTCTATTAGCCAGAGACCCCCCTTCTCCAACTCCCCACCACTTCGACCCCCAGTTTGTGACCAGTACAAACCAGCATGTACCCCGAACCCACCAGCACCACACCATCATGCTCCTGGAGCCACACAGACACAGTGGGAACAGGGGACGTGCTCAGCTAATAGCTTTAATTTATTGTTTAATGGGAAATATAAGCAGTGGAATTACCCAATTCTAATTAATTACATCAAATGGCAATGATTAGTACTTTACTAATTGATGAAACCATATAAATCTATGACAAGATTATGTTACTGGAAACGCCTAATAATCCCTGTGTGATAAAGGCGAATAATCCTGGAATATGTCTAAAATCATGAGAGGTTTGAAACTAAAAAGGGAGGTGTGCCGTAAATTTAAAGCTAATCTAATTTGCCAAAGAGGAAAAGTTTATTTAAGTGGAACATTTCCCACCATGATCCATATTTTGCCTTTACGCCAGGCTGAAACACTAAACTGATAAATTTATATTTTACTATATTAAACGCAGAAAGCAGCTATGTTACAAACAATTCATTAAATTAAGTAAAGCATAAAACTATTTAAGATGTCTGCGCTTTTTTGTTTTGTTTTTTGTGTTGTTGCTAATTTCTAAATGTCCACAGAGTCTGAGCAATTTCCTTCCACAGTAAATTCTAGTTCGTCCCAAAGAGCTTCCCAAGTTTGTAATATGGAGAACATATGCTCCAGACAAAAGAGAGTAACTGACCTTTTTTAAACCCACACTTGTCATTTATACACATGAAAAGAGCTGCATTCAAAACTGACCTGAGTGCGGACCCATGGAGAGGTGGGACGAGTAGTATTTCCCGGGTTGGAAGTGAGCGGGGTGCTGCACGGAGCCGTGGCCGCCTGGCGCCATCCGAGACGCGGCGCTATGAACCAACGCGCTCCGCTCCGTCAGGAGGTGGTGCGGAGGAGCGAAATCTCGGCTTTCCATCCCGGTGAGAACCGATAAATCCCAAATCCAAAGTAAAATCCGGAGGCACCGAAGGTCTCAGGCACCCAGATGCAAATAATCCCTTTTATGAACTTCGGGCTCCCCTCGCATTGAGCGGAGTTTTGGCTTTGCAGGGTAGAAACTGAGTCCCCGTCATGTCCTACAAAAGGGAGAGCAGGAGACACGTCAAAGCGCTGACAATAATGAGCCAACCAGGGATGTAGTGCTGAAGAAAAGGCTGAAATGAGAGACAGTCGCTGTTCATGTTTAGGCAAACAACCAGTATTTACAAAAGCAATTCAAAATCCACCAAAAAAAACGTTATAAAAAACATTTGCATATTACTCTCACTGCTTTGTCTCTGCGTTTCAACGACGATATATGCCAGATACGAAGGTGAGTAAAGTCTGTCCTGCAGATAAAAAGGTGGCTGAACTGAGTTTATGTGGATTTACCCTGCACTACATCGTTGGCCCCCTTCAGAAGAGTCTTTTGCCCTCCTCCTCCTCCTCCTCCTCCTGTGACCAAACACGATGCAAATAACGCACACGGGAGCTTTCTTTATTAGCGAAAAGAATGGAAAGGGAAGGGGGAGATTTGGCTCAGGTACAAACAAATGGTGCATATAGTACAAGAGTTCACAGCGGTAAAGAGCTTTTCTCGATGAAGGACGAGCTGTGAAGTCTTTAGACTGAACAAGGACTGGCCATAAACAAGCTGGACCTCGGGGGGCTCTTGCACTAAAATATGAAGAAAAACCATTTGCACAACACTTTCTGAACAAGAATGCACAAAAGTAGTTTTTACGCTTAAATTATGACGGCTAAAGTCTTAATTCCCCAACCGTGGAGTCTCTACAGTGGCCAGAACGGAAAGAAACTCACGTTTCTGCTTTGATTAATGATTGTTTATGTAAATGAAGTTTGATTTCTTTCCTCGTGCGGTTGTCATAAAATCGGATCCCCTATACTTAAATTTAACACGTGGTTGTGTCACTTTAGAGGACAGAATGTTCCTAATTTCATTCATTTTTTTTAATTTTAATTCAATAAAAACACGGGGCTGATATTAGATCCAACAGCCACGCACGCGTTTTCGGCCTCAGATCAATAATGTTTGATGTATAGCTTTTATAAATTATATCTGACTTTACTGATCGACGTTTTTTTATGCGTTTACCAAACTTGTTTCACGTTGAATTTTTTGTCCTTTTGTTGTTAGCGCCGTAGTAACCCAGGATTCCTGTTTGTGGTGTTGCTTATTAATGAAAACAGCTATTTCCATCAACTCCTACGGAGTCAGCAGCAGTGGGCCCCTCTCGCCTCCTGCCAATGGCAAACACCATGCATCTCTGCTACATATACAGTATATGTAGGCTACACTGTAATCACAAACACAAATCAAATCACCTTTATGCTCCAGTGCGAAAGAGCGGGGCAATAAACAGTGAAATAGACTAGGAAATCATCGACTTTATATGTATGCCTTATAGCCCAGGTCATTTACTTAAATAGGGCTCCATGTGACGCTCAGATAGGGAGAGCTGGGTGCCTGCGTTCGCCAAACACACCTCAGCAGTCCATCTATTAGGCCTTTCAATGCATGGCACGTCCATCTAGCGCTCTGTAGATGCCGATAGCACCTCCCAGGAATCAACGATAAAGGAACAAAGAAAATATCAAATGCTCTGGTGGACCAGGGGCTTATGAAGTGTAGAAGAATATAGGCTGCATGAGCTCGGATATTCAAGTCTCCTTTCGCGCACACACACACACACACGCTGTTCAAGGACTCCCAACTTTCAGGAATTGTGTTTTAGGGGGAAATAATCTCCAAAGTTCAGCAGCTCTGACAGAGCCTGCAAATGTGTGTGTCTGTTTTTGTGCGTCATAACACTCCCAAGCATAAAATATCCAAATGCTTCCCATAAGAATATTTGCCCTAAAGTGCAAGTACATTTAAATAATTTAATTTCCCCCCTTTGTTTGTGAGAACCACGTTGTCAGTTTGACCACATCTAGCCGACAACAAGAGGAGAAATGAGGGTAAAAAAGGAGAGAAACGCAGGCTACTGCAAGCGCACTGGGAAGGCAAAATGGACTCTCTCCTGTCCCCTAGGCTGTGAGAAACAATGGCCCTTCTCTACGGGACATCAATCATAAACCACTCTCGTCTGACATTTGTCTATACATTTTTAAATTTTCAGGCCGTAAACATACGTCCTTGGTGTTTACATTCCACGTCAACAGAGAGCCACTCAGGCTACATTTAACAACCTGAATCTAAATCCCATGTTATCGCACGCCACGCAAACAGAACGACGTGAGCAGATCGCGCGTAACAGTTTGGGAAAATGATCATTTGGATCTGCTGTACTGTGTGTGTGTGTGCATCTACGTGGAAGGCGTTCAGACTTCCTTCCACTTCACCCAGACTCCCCCAAACCCCATACACGTCTCCCAAACACACACACACACACACACACTTCTCAGAACACGCACACACCTCCACCATCATTGCCCTGCAATGGGTCAAACTATCGTCACACACACACACACACAATCCTGCAAAAGTAACCAACACGGGGTCACAACGACATTACATGAAGTTAACACAAAAGCCAGCAAATCCGCATTTAATTGTGATTTCCAGATTTTTTGCAACTGAGGTTTTAAACAAATAAAATACAAATAAAATGCGCGTTTTGTGCCATTTGAACAGAAGTCTATTCCATCAAAATGTATGCACCTTTGGACAAAACATTAAAAAAAGGAATTAAAAGGCTTCCACGTTTGATGTGTCTCGGGTTCAGAGGCCAGCTCATTGCCTTCAACAATTCTGCAATAAAGTAAAGTCACAAAGCATAACCGGGACACTAAACCCGGATATTCAGAGCCCGGCTAAACAGGAGAGACAAGCCCGGCCGAGCCGAAGACAGCTCGGCGTCTGCACAGCCTTCATACCGAGAGAGAGAGAGAAAGAG